ACAGACCTGTTGTTGGAAATGAGCCTTTTGTTGCTCAATCACGAGGAAGTCCTGCAGGTCTTTGTCCATCGACGACGTGTTCAAGTCATCCAAATCTAAAGACATGATTGAGTAGTGGTTTGTGTTGTGGGAAGCGTTGGAAGTGATGTCGAGTGATGTCTGTTTGGCTGACAATCAGAGAGTGTTTACACTTTGTGTGAAAGCATTGAAATGTGAGACAAATGTGAGACTCAATGACTGATGCAATAAAAGCGCAAACATTTAAATGAGTGAAACACGTGTTGTATTGAAATGAATGTCATTTTCAACAATCTTTAGGTCTCTTCTATTTGTAAGAATATTCTTAAATTGAGAGAAAAACGTTTAACAGTAACATGGTCAAACTCACTCACATATAGTGCATATTTTGTTAGACATCTTATCTCAAAATTTAGTGTATTTTTATAATATTTTTAGTTTTTCTTGAAAAGAGTCCGCTTTAGCCTATTTTGCATGAAATTTTGGAATTTTTTTCTAAAATATGTCAAAATCGGGAATATTCTCAAAATAGGCTAAAATCGGGAATATTCTCAAAATAGGCTAAAATCGGGAATATTCTCAAAATAGGCCAAAATCGGAAGTATTCGGGAAAATAAAAATGGCATATTTTTACTCCAAAACTAACTGGATGTTATTCCCGAACATTCTAGTTACTTTATTCGAGAATTCCCGAAGAATCTCTGCTCTAGTATTAACTGAAAATAGGTGGGGGTATAGGTGGGGCCAAACGATCCTATAAACCAAATTATTCAATACTAAATTGTGGTTACAAACTAGACAAACATTGAGTAGATTTTGGTAAGAATTATATCAAATATTTATTAAAATATTGAATACATTTAAAATTCAATGATTAAGTCATTAAAAGTTACAAAATATAAAAACAGACGGAAAGTTGACATTAAGATATATTAAGCTATTATTATATAATAAACTCAATATCAATACGTATTGAATGTTATTCTGTAAATAGTTTCTCATATACTGTAAGTCACAAAATGTTAAACATTAGAAAATATTTAATTAAGAATTTCTTAATAAGAAAATTGCATGTTTTCGGTTAAGAAAATATTAGCACTAATTCTGTGTAAAAAATACTGCCATTAATATAAAAATTCACAACAATTTGTACCACAATTAAGGAATGCATACATTTCTACACAAATATCTTAATACGAATAATAAGTCTTATACTATACTTGTATTGCGGGTAATGTTAAGTAACCTTTAAATTCACATTGAGTTACGATTAAAATACATTAAAATATATAATAAATGCTAAATATTGTCATTAAAATGAGATCTCGTCTAAAATAGTGAACCAAAAGTTCACATAAAAGCGTCGAAAGAGGAATTAAAAGGCGCGAAGATCTTCGTAAGTGAATACTTGAAGTTTGACAGAACCGGTGATTTTGGTCTCTTTTTTACGACTATAGAGATCCAGTTCTTGAATGGATGTCGAGTTCTCGGCATTTGTGTTGATTTTAGGCAACACTTCCACTCGACCCATGAAATGATCAATAAGGAGGTTGTGGTGCCATAACTGTCACACAATTCAGTGTTATTCGATCGCATCATAAATACATTACAATACAATACCTCAACAATAATTGAAATAAATCTGTTGTGATAGAAGATAGCACTGAAGTGATCCCATTCTGGACTTAGAGTGTCGTGAATTGCATTTGATTTGACCACTTGTCGACCGCATCGGAAGACACAGTAAGGATTGGCCG